GGGGGGGGGGGGCAACCGTCCCCCTTCTATAGTCTCTTTTCACAAACATTCTGTCCAAAGATTGATGTTCAACTTGTATCATGAGAGCCACCGAACATTCAAGTCAGAAATATTTAGACATTTATGATTAGCTCTTTTTTTGACATTTTTGTCAGCTAAAAATAGTATTGCGAGTTGATTGCTGCTTCCATGGATGTTGATTGCGGATCCACGGGAAATGAATTCAATTGAAAATCTCAATATTTTTTCTGTTTGTCGTGATACTATTAGTCTAATTATGAGGAATTTTGTTTTCTTTATTTTAAGCTCTAAAGCTGTGTCACCCGCATGCCAAATGCATCTTCCTCCAGTCCTCACACTGTGTTCTCCACACTGTCCAGCTTCACACATTACTTATTCCGCATGATAGAATAAGCATGCTGCAATGATAGAATAAGCATGCTAGCTCACACCTTTCCTGGTTTTTAAACCACACAGTATTAACTTATTCTGCTCAAATAATTGCCTCTTGGTCTATGTACAAGTTCCACATAAAAACAATTTAGCGTTCTGGAATTCTAATTTTTTGCAGTGTTATCCACAGTTGAATGCCTTTTCACAGCCTATAAAATACAAGTAAATATCTTTCTGGGTATTCCCTGCCATCGGGCAAGATCCGTCTGGCATCAATAATAATATCCCTTGGACATCTTCTGAATCCAGCTTGCATTCCTGAAAATTCCCTGTGGATGTACTACAGCAACTTGTTTTGAACCATCTTCAGCAAAATCTTACAGGTGTGTAATATTGACGGTATTGCTCAATCATCTCCACAGTCAGCTGAGTCACCTTCCTTTGGAACAGGAACACAAACATGGTGCTCACCCAGTCAGTTGGCCAAGAAGCTGCTTTCTACATTTTATTGCATAGACAAGTGAGCATCTCGAGTACTTTTTTAGATATCTCCAGCTGCTTCATTTGTTGAAACATTTCAATTGGCATTCCATCAATTTTTAGAGCCTTGTTTTCCACCAATGCTCTCAGTATAAGTGTATATTTTTTCTTTCAATACCATTGGTTCTTGGTCATATGCTACCTGATGTAATTGTTGAAACTCAACAAATATTTTTGGTACCATGACTCTGTGTATTCTTTCATTGTTATTTTGATACTTCTGATTTCTTCCACCAGCCATAAGGAAGAGATCCATATTTGTACCCATACTAAATGGCACAGAAATTTGAAGTACTTGCTAATGAAGGTCAAAGAGTACAGCTTTCAATATGGATTACAATGAAATGTAAAGAAAACCATAATCCTCACAACTGGCCCAATGGATAACATCCTGATAAATGGAGAAGAGACTGAAGTTGTCTATGATTTGGGTTTGCTTGGATCCACTATCAATGCTCATGGATACAGCAGTCAAGAGATCAAAAGATTCAGTGCATTGGGCAAATCTGCTGCAGATGTCTTTAGAATGTTGAAAAGCAAGAATGTTAGTTTGAGAACTAAGGTGCATCAAGCCATGTTTTTTCCCATTACCTTATATGCATGCCAAAGGTAGACATTGAAAAAGGAAGACTGAGGAAGAATTAAAGCATTTTTACTGTAGTACTGGCAAAGAAATTTTAAAATACCATGGACTACCAAAGTACAAACAGAGTGCTCCTTATGTAGGCAAGGGATGGTGAAACTCCATCCCATGTACTTTGGACATGTTGTCAGATCATGCTTGGTATAGTAGAAGGGCAGTGAAAATGAAGGCCTTCAACGAGATGGATTAATGCAGTGGCTATAAAACTGGTTTCAAGCATAGTAAAGTGAGGTTGGAGCTGCAGGACCGGACAGTGTTTCAGTCTATCACTTGTAGGGTCCACGTGGGTCTGAACTGACTTGATGGCACCTAACAACAACAGGCCACTCAATGTTTTGAACATAGAATCTTTCAATATGGCAACTAGAGGCTTGGATTGTTTTCTCAGTTTACTAACCCACAAAATAAGATATTGGTAAAATTAATATTATTAATACAAATATTAACTTGTCTTTTTGCAATAACTGAAATATTAATTTAAGTCATAACATGTAATAGTGTTTTTAATTTATTTTAGCTAAACGTAAAGAAAATTCCCTAAAACAGTGCTACTTAATGTTTCCAAGGATCAACATTATCAGTATTACCTGGACATCTGTTAGAAATTCAGATTCTCTGGGCTCAACTTTATAAATCAAACTCTTTAGGATTAAGACTCAGAAATCTATATTTTTATTCTACAAGTTATGGCAAGGCTTACCAAATTTTGACAACTATAGCTCTAAGATGAAACTGATATTAATATCAATATTAAGCTTTAACTAACATTAAGCCTCATTCATATTGACCCTCCTAACACATCTTGGCAATATTTTATATATATATCATTATAAGTACATGTGCTTCCAGTTACGTCAGGTACATTATACTGAACTCCAAAAGAAAAGAAACAGCTATACCTTTACCTATCATCTTTTAACTCTATGGCCTAAAAAGAAAAGCTTGCAATAAACACACCAAAAACATTTCTTTAATCAAAATCAAATAAAAACTCAAATTCAGAATTCATATTATACCTTTTTAATAACATCCTTGAGATCTGAAGAGCTTAGTTTTCCAAGTGGTTTTCCATGTGGAGGCAATGGTTGCTTTGGGGCTGCGCTTGCTCCTGAATTATGCCTGGCTCCCCAGGTAACATAGAAACTATCTGCAGAAAGAGAAGATAAGTGTTTCAGAAAAGGGCTCATCAGTAAAGAAATACTACCTTCAATTATTTTTAAGGTAATTAGTCTAATAAGATCATCCTCTGAAAGGTAAAGATAAAGTAGACCTTGTGGCCTGGTGGCATAGTGATTCAGCACTGGGCTGCTAACTGCAAGGCCAGAATTTCAAAACCACCAGCTGCTCGTTGGGAAAAAGAAAAGACTTTCTACTCACATAGAGAGTTACAGTCTCAGAAACCCACAGCAGTAATTCTACCTTGTCCTATGGAGCCAGTATGAGTCAGAGTCAACTTGATAGCAGTGAGTTCAGAGTTTGGAGTTGGTAGAGAAATCTGAACATTTAATCCCTTAAAGATAATTATTTTCTGCCTGAAATTTTTTGTTTAAACCACAACTTTTCAGTAATAGAAGGCACTTTTAACAATTTTATTGACACATAATTCACATATACAATTCTATAGCTCACTCACATGAAGAAGAGTTGCACAATTGTCAACACAGTTGTTTAACATTTTCTTCATTCTACTACTCCTCATTGTTATTATCTCCTCATTTCCCCTCAACCTCCCCTGCCATATTCTCGATGGGCCAGTTACTATCTCTATCCTGGATTTCACAAACAGAAAAACCCTTTTATAAAACAAACTAACAACACTAACCAAGTAAAACAGATTTAAAACCCAATTGGTTGTACAAAACTCTGATAACAGGGTTATTCATATTGGAAGGCATTTTAAATGAAATAAAAAAATAAATTTCTGAAGGTAATATGGATATAGTTATAATTTGTGAGACATATATGTCCCAAAGGGTCCCTGCTGCTGGAGTTAGTAGATTGAAGCCCATTCCTTCAAACACACACAGCTATTCAAGCCCCCACCAAATGGCAGCACACACTAAACACAGCATAGCGGCTTCCAATAAACCCAGAGGCAGAAAATGTTGTGGTCACAAAATAGTAAAGACACAAAAGCCTTACAGTGTTACTTCATTCCCCCACGTGAACTGACTTCCTTCCAACCCTCCTCTACGATTCCTACTTTCCACCCTGTTTGTCCCATTTTCCTGCTACTCTTCTAGTATCTTCAAATTTAAACTAAAGATAATACATAAATCACAAAATAAAACATTTTCAAAACCCTCTTTAATAACAGATTTATTAATACTATGAAGAACCATGATTTCTAAAAGAAAAGAAAAGCATAAAGCCAAATGATTAGTGATAAGTACTGAAAAGTGGAGTACTCATTTGGACTTGATGACGGGTCAAATAAATCCAATGGGGGTGAAAAGTCTTTCAGACCGACATGGACAAAGGTTTTGTTGGAATAAGGACTGCAAGGAAGATTTGCATTTGGTGATTAGGGCTGCATCTGTGTATTCAAATAAGAGTTTCTGTAGTTTGTGCAGATGGAAGAGAAGGCAAGAAATGTAATGACGAAAGAAAAAGGAAGTGGTTTGAAACTATGCAAGTTAAAGGTTGTTGCTTGCTCTAGGAGGGAGTAGACAATCCTTTGAATCAGGGCAATTCAATGCTATTGTGCAGAGAGTTGTTTTTAATTGGAGGCTAACTATGTATATATCAGCTAACAACAAGATCTGATTATGTGGCAAGGTGAGTGCTTGACGGAACAGTCTGACAGAGATGAGGGAAGGTAAAGGTCAATGGGAAAGTGAGTGGATCCTCCTTGTATGGCTGCAGGAACATTGTTTTAAATGAATTTAAGAGACATTTAGGGACTTATAATTTTAAACTTCAGAAAATTAACACTTAGCTACTATATAATGCCCAAAGAATATGCCACTTTCCTTACATATTCTTCGGGCTTGTCGTCAAAGAGACATCACTAACACAATTTTTAGAAAAAGACACTACTAGACGCAAAGCCATCAAAGATGCAAGACACAAGGACACAGCTTCCCAGTCAAAATCAAGCCAATATTGAATTTCTAAGACCCCTGGTGGGGCAACAATTCACACCCACCAGCCTCTGTGGGAGAAAAATGAAGCCATCTACTTCCAGAAAGCATGACGGCCTTGGAAACTCTCCATAGGCCCTTATGCATCAGACTCACTCAACAGCAGAGGGTTGTAGTTTTTAGTTTTCTTCAGGTTCCTCTCACCATGCTAGCCCTCGTTCTTAAATCTATTTCCTGACTCCAAAATTCAGGCAAATACCAAAATTTCCTTCTACCAAATCCAATATCCTTCCAACATTCAAAACTCCCTTTGGCTTATGAATTATGGTGCCAGGACCAGTAGCAAATAGAGAAATGTACGATTTATAGAATATACTAGGTAAAATTTTTAAAACCAAACTTCTCCTGAGAGAACAAAAACTCATTTTGAAGCTTGAAAACTATTCTATTAAAAAATGTTTTTTAGTGTGATCTTCTTTTATCAAATGTCTTCTCACTGCAAAGATGTTACTCTCACAGAAGTTTTCACGATGAAAATTGGCTATATTGAGCAGTATGACCAACAAAGCTGCTTTGACTGAATGGCATTGCACTGTACCTACCATAAAAATGGTAGTAATATGTAAAAAGTTCTGTGCTAAGGACATTATGGGTCCCAAACCAGAGCAAGCTAAGTCCAACTTATAGCCATCCTATAGAACAGAGTGGAACTGCCACAGGCAATAGTTGATGGAAGCAGACAGCCACTTCTTTCTCCTGTGAGTGACTGGTTGGGTTTAAACGATTGACCTTTTGGTTAACAATGGAGCACACAATCATTGTACAACCTGGGCATAATTAGCATTATGAATAGTGGCAAGCAAAAGAAACACCATTACACTTCACCAAAAGTTCATTATCATCAAATATAGATTTTTCTCAATGATATTTAAGTTGCATACATTTACAATTGTTGTTTCTAAAACATCATTACTAGTGAAAATTCTTCTGGAAAAATAGCTTTGCAGAGCAAACGTGAAACATTACAGCCTGAACCACCTTTTCCCAAGAATCATTATGGTACAGAATTGTTTGAACATATTTATAGAAATCTAGCAAAAGAAAGACTGAGCAGCCCTTACAAAAAAGCTGATATTAAATTACACAGTGTTATAATTTGTTCAGAAAATAGACATAAGAAGGCATCGTACTAGGAAAAAAATAATTTTAAGGACCTCAAAATAATATTTACATAAACTCTGTAATTATATTACCTGCCATATTCTCTATTATATCTGAGCCCCAATCTCCTTGAAACACTGATGTCAAAATGCTGTCAAATACATGAAGTTCCTTGGCCCCAACAATTTTGTCACGAAATAAGCGGCGTGCTTCATATGCTACAATTTCTAATACATAATCTAATGGATGGTGTGAGGTTCCTAAAAAAGACAAAATATCTGAAAAATTACATTATAATAAAACTCAAATGATTTTAAATTGCTTCAAGGTAATATAATAAGAAATAAAAAATAAGAATCTACGTACCATATTTTGACATCAGATAAGTTAAAGGAAAAGAAAAAAAGTTAAATTTTATTTTGTTAATGTGTTAATAAATTTATTGTTTTCACCTAAAGCATACACTAACTTTCAGTATATTTAGCTGTTTGGTAAAACGTAACTTAAAAGAGCATGTTAAATATGATTACACAACAAAGAACAATTTCTTGTTCCCAAAAGAATCAGGCTTTACTAATGGCAATAATAAATAATCCTGAAGAAATAAAATAAATAATTTTGTTATAGTCCTTATTTAATGTATCACATATAAATACAATGAACATTTCAAATATGCACATACATATAAAGATACATCCTAAAAAAAGATAAGTGATTTGAAATCTTATAAACAAAACTTACCTCCTTCTAAATCATATCTGAATAAACCAAGAACCCACTGGGTAAGAATGCAAGGAGTAAAAAAGTAGTGACTATAATCATCAACAGTAAATTTGGCCCGCACCTAAAAAAAGTAAAGAGAGTAAATGGTCAATTTAATATCTTAAATATATAATTACGTGCAGGAATGGCAATTTTTACCTTTGGAAGGAGCTGTGTGCCAATATAATTAATTTGTTTGATTACCTGCACATTAATGTGTTATGAAATTTAACAAGATTATTCTGAGAAAAGATTCATAGACTTCAAATATAGTTATGAAGCCCTAGATAAGGAGATGCGCTAAAGTTCTCCAAGGATTTTAAATGGTCTGTTTCAACATAATATAGTAAGAAATAGAGGATACTAGGAAAGCTAATTTAAGCTTCTTAATTCCAAGACTTGAAGTCAAGGGGCCACCTCTTCTCTCAATGCCAAAGGCATCATTATGATCTTGATCATTTAACATCTCAATTAATTTAGAGGGGAAGGGGCAGGGAACTTATCTTTTCCTACTTCTAATGAAACAGTATAATAAACACTTTCCCAAAACACTTCCACAACTTGCATTTGCCATTCTCTTTACCTAAAAAAGATCTTTCACCCTCAGTCACGTGAACATCTATTCATCTTTTAGGACTCAAACCAAATTTTGCCTTTTTAAAGCCTGTCACAAAACAAAGTTATTCAAACAACTCCCTGGAGTTGTACATACTCCTATTGCTATATTTATCAAGTTGTATTAAAAACTAATTTATTTATATAACTAGGTCCCTCATAGACTGAGAATTTCCAAAGAAGGAAGACTCATTCATTTTTGCATCTCTAAGACTGGCCAGAGAAGGCACACAATAAATATCCAATGCACACGCAATGCCTATTTTTAAAGATATTCTCAAACTAATATGGGAAGATGCCTTAGACATTTGCTCATTGGCAGCAGAAAAAAATAAGCATCGAAGACTAGTCTTTAAGGTCTGAAGCCTGCAAGGCAGAAATTGATCGAAGTCACTAGAGAGAGCTGGGTTTTGGAAAGAAGACGAAATCCATTCTAAATATGCTAAACTTAAGTTGATAGCAGAATATTCATCCTAATGTGTTCATTCAATAAATATTTACTAATGTCTACTAGGAACCAGGAGCCCTGGTAGAGTAGTGGTTTTGCATTGGGCTGCTAACCACAAGGTAGACAGTTTGAAACCACGAGCAGTTCTTCAGGAGAAAGGGCTTTCTACTCCCGTTAACCATTACTGTCTTAGAAACTCGCAGAGGCAGTTCTACCTTGTGCTATACTATAGTAGCTATAGAGTCACCTTAAGTCAATATTGACTGGATGGCCCTCAGTTTATTCACATGATTAGAAACTGACCAACAGTAGATAAGACATCAAGTATGTAACCCTTACTAAACTTAGTCTCCAACAGAAAAGTCTAAGTAAGCAGCAGAAAAGTAAATCCTGAGATCATCAAAGAAGGCAGAATTTTTTTTTTTAATTTTAAAAAGAAAAAAAAAGAAGGCAGAATTATAGTAGCCATTTAGGAATTCAACCAATAGACATGAAAACTACAATATAAACACATGTACCTGTTCATACACTTGTACCATAGATCCTGCTAGGAGATAAATTTTTGATGGAGAACCCCAAATAGAATGATTCTTCAAGTTTTTATGTAAAACTGGTTCCAAATAGGCTCCGTAAATGGTTTGTAGTTGCTCTCTTTCCGGGTAACTTAAATTTTTTAAAAAGGCACATAAAAAACATTTAAGCTGAGACAAATAAGTATTGTAAATTATCATCTTAATGTTAAATTACAGCAATGCTGTTCATAATATCATCTGAAACCTATACAACTCAGTGTCCTACCCAAGTGTTAAAGGTGAGGTCAGGGTCAAAGTTCCTGTAATTCAAAAAAATTAGACCCCCAATTATCTGTTGTTAAGAATTGGGGAGCCAATGAAATTATTTTAAAATATCTTTGCTTGGAAAACTACTCATCTTTAGAAAAAGACAAAAGGAAATTTTTACTTAATAAATATTTTGAATTAAATATAGTCACAGAGCAGTGCACCAGCAGTAACTTAACTAAAGACAATAAAGAGTGAAACTAACAAAACAAAATCAAACTATTTCTCCCATATCCAAAATTTATTTTAATATAACCTAATTTTGGTAATATCATGTAAAAATTATAAAGAACTTAATAGATGGAATGCAATCAATACAAAAGCAAAACAACAAGGCTCCGTGCTGCAATATTTAACAGCCTTTAGCCAGTGAGACAATGTCATAACGAGAAGACTGATGAGCCTTTGGGACAATTACAGGTCATGGAGTTTAATGGGTATTTTAAAATTGGTGCCATTACATAATGATTAAGAGGGTCAATGAAATAAGAGAACATAACCATAATAAATATCTATGCACCAAATGAAAGAGCTTCAAAATACATTAATGAAACGCTCACAGAATTGAAGGCATAATAATAATTGTACAATAGTAGCAGATTTTAATATACCACTTTCAATGAAGGACATAACTAGGAAGAAATCCGTCAGAGACCCAGAAGAACTAAACAACTTGACCTCAGAGATAGATACACAACCCTCCACCCAACAACAGCACAAGCTACACTCCTTGCCAGGACACACGGAACCTTCTCCAGAATAGACCATATGTTAGATCACAAAGTAAGGCTGCAATTACATTAAATACACTTTAAAGATATTACAAAGCATCAACTCAGATCACAGTACTATAAAATTAGAAACCAATAATAAGATGATCAAGGGAATAGGCAAACACATGGAATTTGAATACCTTGCTTTAAAAAAACAACTGAGGGATAGAAAAAATGAAATTAAACAATTCCTTGAAGCAAAAGCTACAATTATGAATACATAACAAACCAAAACCTTTGGAATAGAAGAAAAGCAGTGTTCAGAGAAAAACAAAAATTTACATTCTAAAATATGTCTTTCAGATTCCTGATAACGATATTTTGAAATCTGGACAATATAAACAGCTCCATATTAAGTTTACTTATCTCTAATACAGAAAATGCTTTGACTAAAATCTTCATCCTTCTAATTATTACCTACAGTTCTTAAAAGAAAATAATAGTATCAAGACTTAAATTCAACTATTTGTAGAAGGATCATTCATGGCTACCTTAAGAAAGCACAACTGTATAGGAGACCTACTTTCAAAAAGAGACAATAAGATACATACTCTACAGCACACAGACGAACAATAGAAGCAAATCTGGTGGTAAGCTTGTGTCGCCCCAGTCTGCCTCCAGCTGACATCGAGGCCACAATCTGAATATTTTCTAAACCAACCCATTCCAAATTTTCATCGTAAAATCCTTGATATGTCAAGACCTATTTGAAAATAAATGTATTTAAGTGATTTATACATAAGATTTTCAATCATGATATAAAATGCTGCCTAAAATTCAAATATTTCTAAATGCGAGCAATATTCTCTACCCTACTTAAGAGTTTAAAATTAAAATATATGATCAATTTTTCTCTCTCTTACAAAAAATACCATTCAAGTCTGTGTGATAAATGTTAGTGGAATAAACCATATTTTAAATATGCTTTTCTCTCAAATAAACATTAAAATCCAAATCACATTTGAAATCTATTAAAAAATTTTTTTAAAAACTGAAAGGGTAGACGTCAGACAGTATAAGACATGACAAAATATTAATAACTTACAAATTATCAAGGGTTCATGAGGGAGGGAGGTTGGGGAGGGAGGGGAAAAAATGAGGAACTGATACCAAGGGCTCAAGCAGAAAGCAAATGTTTTGAGAATGATGATGGCATCAAATGTACAAATGTGCTTGACAATGGATGGATGGATGGATGGATGGATGGATGGATTGTGATAAGAGTTGTATGAGCCCCCAATAAGATGATTAAGAAAAACACAAACTGAAAGTACCCAGGGAAAATATAAAGAAAACCGTTAGGGTCCCTATATATATTTTATTGTATTTCTGCAGTTGCGTAACCCACTTGGTTACCATGGAGTCAATTCCAACTCATACTGACCCTTTAGGACAGAGTAAAAGTGCCCTTTGTGGGTTTCCAAGACTGTAATCTTCACAGGAGGATAAAGCCTCATCTTGCTTCTATGAAGTGTCTAGTAGTCTCAAACTGGTGACTTTATGGTTAGTAGACCAAAGAGTAATCCACTACACCATCAAGACACCTTGAAGTTATATAATAGAGTTAAATTTTTATCTAAGTAAATGCAAAAAACTCTTAGAAGTTAATGTTTTTAATGTGATATAAGGAGTCCCTAATGTGATACAAATAGTTAATGCACTAGGCTCCTAAACAAAAAGTTGGAAGTTCAAACCCATCCAGAAGCACCATGTGAAAAACGCCTAGAAATTAACTTCCAAAAAAGGCAGCCACTGAAAACTCTATCAAACACAATTCAACTTTGACATACTGTATATGGATGGTATCACTATGCAAAATAGATGCAACAGCAACTGATTATGTATAAACAAAATTACAATAATAAAGAAAATCTACTACACTGAGTGTGAAAGATAGATCAACCTTTCTACTTCAACAAAGAGTCACAACCTTGGAAATCCAAAGGGACAGTCCTACTCTGAGCTGTAAAGACACTGTGAGACAGGATCAACCCAATGGCAGTGAATACATACAGTAGTACATACACTGAGGGGAAATGCATCACCTCAAAACCAAATACAAGAAAAGGAGCTGAATAATGGATGAAAGCAGCTGGAAAAGGCATGGTTGACTAAGGCTAACTATGGTAGAAGACCGCATAAAATGAAGCAAATAAGTCCTTAATTCTACTTCTGCTTTTCCCTTTCTGTAGAGTTAAAGAAGAGCGAACAGTATAGGAGGAAGTACTAGTAAGACAGTGGGTTACAGTTGGGTTGCTATCAGTCAGTAGTTCAACTCCACAAGTCGCTGTTTTGAGAAAAAGATGAAATCCATAGGGCAGTGCTAGTCTGTCCCTCAGTATCACTATGAGTCAGAATCGACTCAATGGAAGTAGGTTTGGTTTTGGTTTGTTTATACATGTAGAATAAAGGTCATTTTTTAAACCCATCTCCTATTGAGGCAATACTAACTCCTGAACAAAGTAAAATCAAAGAAAGTAGGCTTGGAACCACATTGAGATATTTTAATTCACTCCTTTTTCAATCACGTTAAAATACTTTAAGTGATAACACTCACCTGTTGTAAAAATGCTACCAAAGTACTGGTCCCCCATTTATCAAGCTTGGGTAAGTTGATATCTTTTAAGTACAAGACAAGTCGTTCACAGTCTTTTGGCCTGTATACTCGACCAGTATTAGTACTGATGACCATGCAAGTCTGGCTCAGTTTCTGCAGAAGATGTCGAGAAGTAGTTTGTGCACTACAGTGAACTGTAGCAATCTGAGTGGATCGAAGTTGGGAAAAGGCATACCTGAGCAGCATCCTAAGAAAGACATATGACATTTGACTTTAAATTCAACCAATATAATACTTTTAAATACAATTTAAGAACTGTCATAACTATTTCAATTTATTAATTATAAGTTAGTATATTACAGGGGAAGTGGCAAATATGGATATGGGCATCTACAACTATCAAGGTAATTTTCTCACTTGTTGATAAGACAAAGTCAACTCATATTTCAAGGCATTTTTGTGACATCTTCAGCAAAATAAATAAAAGTCTACAGAAATAATTGAGTTTGATAAAAGTTAATACAAAATACACAAATTATTTTTCCACAGTTGAAGAAAAATACGTTAGAAAAATTTCTTCAATGATTTTAAAGAATATTTTAATTACTAATGCCCAAAATGATATGTGAAATAGTTCACAGCTTCTTTACTACTAGAAATTACATACAGTAGACATCTAAAGCTAACTGAGTTTCATTAAATTAGAAACTATTTTTAAATACAGAGTTAACATCAAGATTCATATTTTAAAACTAAAACAAATAGCAATTTGTGAATATATCTAATCATTTTGTTGTTGTTATATGCAAAGGTTCTTTTTAACAGTATGTTCTTCTAAAATTGCTTTCCATTAGAAGCATATAATCTGACAAAGAAAACGGTGCATTTTTTTCCATAGTGCTATTTTTATAAATAGTAACAGTTCTTCACAAAAAGAATGAAGGGTACTTTCATCGTTCGTAGTAAAAGTGGCTGTCATTTTAAGGTGAAGGGGCCATACTAACGTCCCAACACCTACAGCACACAATCTGCTCTTACCCTTTGCCACATCCTTCTGGTCCGACGAGAACAAATGGCTGCTTCGTATCAGAACTTAGCCAAGGCTTGACATAATCTAGCCCCCGCTGCATGTCAGGAGTCTGAATTACTGGGAGAGTTTGGCCATGACTGAAATCCTCAGCAGTCAGGTTGTCTGGCTTCTTCAATGCATAAGATGCAAGTCTCCTTTTACCGGTGTCATAGAACGTGTCCATTGGTTTATGCGGGTCTGGAGGAGATTCTCGTGCCCAGTTAAAAACCTTAAGGGGAAAAAATGTAATAAATTTTCACATACTAAAGAGAAGGTGAAATTTTAATTCTCTAAAGGATATGTTCCAGATTCACCACATTAGAATAATCAAACATTTGCGATCTAAGGGCAGCATTTACCTAAGACAGAGGAGTAGGGAGAAGTAGAAGCAGGAGGGAGCTTTAAGCCAGCTGGAGAAGCAAAGGGCCATTAGGAGGATTAGAATGGACGAGGTGAAACAGAAGGTGCATGAAGTGTTCAATGTAAAACGGATGATGTGCTCAGTAAATCATCATCTACATCACAATAAAAAGTTACAATAATTTTTAAAAGAACATTATCTATGTCACTAAATTGTACACTTAAAAGCTATTGAATTAGTTTACAAGAGGGTTCCAAAAAAAATTCATGGAGAAATTTCATTACCTTTAAATTCCATTTTTCCATGAACTTTTTGCAGCCCCTTGTACGTTCTGCTGTGTTCTCAATAACAGCAGCAAGATAAACAAAAGATAGGGAAAAATATGATGAGTTCTCAAAATAGAACATGGATCAACCTAGAAGATGTGCTGAGTGAAATACATCATTCACAAAACAACAAATTCTGTATGACTTCACCTAAAAAATAAACTATATACCACTATGTATTACAATTAAATATGCTAAAAATAAATGATCCTAGCTCAATAAAAAATTGTACATTAAACCTAATAAATATCCTTTGTAATTAAAATAACATTCTGCTTAAGGTATTTAACTTACTTCAAATAATCATTTATGCAATTTTTTTAGTCAACTAATTTGTGCAGATGCTCAGGATTAAATATGTGCACTTCTAAGAAGAGTTTTTATGGAAACACAAAATTACAGTTTATAGAAAAGGGAATTCCGAAGGACTGCCATTTCAAGCACACTCTGGCATTGCCTATTCCAACGTCGCCAGCACTGCGTAGAAGCAGTTGTGCTAATAATTAACAAGTGCTCCTTGTATTGGTAGAGCAGGAAGACAGCCTCTGTAGGTACTCTTCAATGTTTTTCAGACTTTAGCAAGCTTTAATCTGTTTAAAAGCAGCAGATAGTACACTATCAAGTGGTAACAAGGCGTGACAGATGTAATGGGCAGTCATGGAAAGCAAACAAATAAAGTAAAATGATGGTGTCAAAAGCAGCAGTGAAGTAAAAACTGAAAAACAAGAAGGGGAAAAGAGCAAGAATATGATGTTCTAGCCAACCCTCCAAAATAAGTTCAGTTATTTTAAAAAGCCAATAGAAATTTTCTTATTATGTAGAATTAAGTTTAGACATTTGGCTAAAATACAATCTTTATGTATGTTAGAAAAATTGATTAATTATAAAATCATCCTACCATTTGTAATGACTAGATATGTTCTTACTAAAAGAGTGATAACAACTAAACCATTTAAAGAGGAAAAAAAGAAAACAATCATTTTACTCTTATGTCTAAATTAGTTTAAAAGTAACTCACTTTAAAAAGATACAGCTTTTGAAATATTACTTAATTAAATTTTAATAATGACATGAGTATTAGTTCCAAAGAGAAAATGAGTATAGATGTAGCAATGAAATACAGCATTATTTTTTAAAGCCACCTGTAAATCCCCTCTAAGCACAGAGTAGGAATGAGAATAGCCTTGCTCTCATGCAGAGTGCCTTGGAAAAGTGGATTGTGGTAGATGTGGCTGGGTTAAAATAAAAGAAACACATCAGTATTTTACTGAATGCACAATATCACTGTATGAGAGAGAGAGAGAGAGGTGAGTGAGTACTTGGGAGCAAAGTGGCTTTCCACTCAACAATTCATACACACTTCGTTTCATGGCATTGGTTGCAGTCCCACAATGTAACATCATAGCATTTCTGCCCTTTGTCTCCAGTCTCTATTCTGCCTTCTTTCCTCCTCATTCTTACTGAGCTTTAATCCCTGGGTAAATGCTGCCCTTTATAACTCCTATCACAGATTTTCCTAAGATCCTGTACCTCCCTGGTGTTATTCACCTCACAGACCTATCTATTGTTTTCTCTAAAAGTTCATGGGCCTGAAGAGTGAGCAAGGTCATAGCTTTGGGAGTGAATATGGTCTTAAATAGATTACCTCCTTGGTGAATTCCAGTCGTGACTTCATGTTCAGATTGCCACCCAGTCCCCTTATGAGATTAATAATAAATTGTTCATGATCTTCGCATCCATGTAGATGTGACAAACCATTCATCACAGTCCCAACCAAACTTGTTTCTACCACATAATCATTCTGTAGATTAAAAGCCACAAAAGGCAGTATTAATCAATGAATTTACAACCACAAGCATAGCCATAGATTGGCTATCACATATCTTCCAAGGACCACTTTTAAAGTTTAATAAGTGAAGAAAATAACTTTCTTTCTCTATTCAAGTGATAGAAAAATTAAATTTCCTTCCATTTAAATGTACTTTGAAAATAAAGAGGAATTAGACACATAAATGCATACTTCTAGCTGAAAGGACTAAATCTTCCCATGGATATAGAGTCGGCTAAAGGAATATACAACATAAATTAGTGAGCATGGAACCAAATAAACAATTCTTGCTTTCTTCTTTCAAAAAAACAGGAAGCTGGAAGCAACGCTGGATTAATGGCCCTAGAAAAGCAAAGCCAATAAAAGCAGGATTAAATGAAAAATTATTTGAAGCCTTCTTTCTAAACAGAATTTTAAAATCAAACTTTTGGATTGCAGTGGTATAGACAATTTTAATCTCATTGATCTGGGGCCTCTGTGTACCGTTGGGGAGTTAGAAAGAAGAAAAAAAAAAGTTGATATACTTTCCATAAATTTCCTGAGGGCCAACTATGCATTCAGATCTGCATGTGGTGGTATCCAGAAGGGCAGTTCCCATGGAGTTAATTCCAACTCAGAGATGCTCTAGTACAGAGCAAATGAACCCATCGTTTCCTGGGAGTCTTCCAGAAAAGTCAGTGGTTGAAAACCACCAGCCTAAAAGGTGGCAGCCGTGGAAACCCTATGGGAAAGTTCTACTCTGCCCTATGAGCTGCTACAAGCGGTAAGGTCCTCTGTGACCATGCCGCTGTGGTGGTGGTGCTGTGGAATCCATACAGAAGTAGACCGCCACATCATCCCCCCACAGGGCAGCAGTTGGTGTCCAAGTACTGCCCTTTTAGTTAGTAGTGAAGCACTAAGCCACTGCATTACCAAGGCTCTTCGATGTGGTGGTCGGGATAAATAAAGGTGAATGTCAGAATCGGGCTTCATGGAATGCCAGTCTAGTAGAAGAGCTGGTTAACCAGGTGTGAGAAGAGGTAAACAGCACCAGGCCAGATTGTGGTATGAAAGAATAACTCACATAGAGGGTTCAAAGCCTCTTTTTAAAAAGAATATATTTTAGTTAACACTTGAAGGACATCTGGCCATGCAGAAAATACAGCACAAGTAAAAGGAAGTGGTCCAGAAAAAGAATGAAAAGAAGTGTACGTCTAACTGAGGGGGAATGAAAGAAACTCAAACTCACTACCAGTGAGCACTGAGACTCAGGGACCCGAGAAGACAGGGCAGAACTGTCCACGCGGGTTTCTGGGATGGTAACTCTTCACGGGAGTGGAAAGCTACTTGACTTCTTTCTGAGGAGCAGCTTTGGTTTCAGTGTGCTAACCTCTAGCTTAGCAGCGCATAGCATAACGTCTAGGCCACAATCACAGAAGGGTTCCAGGGTCAGGCTATGGAACAGTATGAATTCATTTCCACTGCATGCTTTACAGTTCTTAAGATAACAAACATTGGGGGAAGAAAGAACAAATAGGGTGAAAAGTGGAATGAAGATGGATAAAAACTCAACTTCATAGGTCATGCCAAGAGTCAGAACTGATTCGATAGTACCTCACAACAACAAGAATGTTAGGCTGTTCACAGAGTGATAAAACAAACCAACGAATGTCCTAGGGGGTCTCATTTAGGGATTAATGCAAGAAAGCACAATTCCACATACTAATAAAATGCAATTGTCTGGAACATGTGTTTGGATTATCTTCCAGAATCTGAGCATGGTAAACAAGGTTCCGGGAAGAGGGAAGCCTCAACTCATAAAAAACAATTGAAATAAAAACAAGGTCTGTCCTCAAAACAGAACCTTCCGCGTACAGTTTATATCCTAATTAAAAATTTGGAATCCACTCTCAAGCGTGAAGTCTTAACCTACCATTGTTTCTAGAGCCACAAGCATGTATATGTATATTCTAGCACACATTATATTCATCACTATAAGAGTCACGCAAATATTAACAGCATGAAAATAAGTGACTTCAAGGGATTTATCAGCATTGGAAAGTCTTGTTAGGCAAGGTATGTTTGTATTAATGTATAACAGCACACACATTGACATCAGGATTCTAAGTTTAAGCTCATATACTGTTATTCATTCACTATGGCTAAGGCTTAGGCATTGGGTTGCTAACTGCAAGGTTAGCAGTTCAAACCCACCAGCCACTAAATAAGATAAAGATGGAAGCTATCTGCTCCTGTAAAGATTTAAAGTTTCGAAGTCCTATATAAAGTCACTATGAGTCGAAGTTGACTCAATGGCAGTGTTTTCGGGTTTTGTTTGTTTGAACTCTGTTAATATTATCATGACAGGTTTTTAGTACACAATAAGGAGCAAGAGAGGATGGGTCCTTTTGTCAGGTAGCTAGAAAAGGGGACCAGGAGTATCTATTGGGCATGCTCCAAATTCAAGCCCCTGAGCCAGGTAGGCAGTACACAAGGTGGGTTCAAACTAGGCCAGGTGGGCTTATAATTCAGTCATTTGGGTCAACCAGTAATGTCTACCACGCCTCCCAGTCAAAGGCCCTAAAGCCCAGAACTTCAAGACCACCTCCCTCTTTTCAGCTGCTGCTCTACCTTCCGCTAGGCTGTGCAGTGGTCTCTCTGGCCTCAGGCCGCCATGTGTGGGTGTGCAGTCCCATGAGGTTACCTGTGTTCACTAAATGTAAAATCTGAAACTTCTTCCATCCTTTATAAAACCCACTTCGCAGGGGAGCAACAAGTGATCCAAAAGTAATGGCAAGGAGGGTGTGAGAGGCCTGGTAGGGATTCAGCAAAGGCATTATAACC